GTGTGGAATAGAAAGTTCCGCAGAAAATTGCACAGGCCAATCAGCTAGCCAGCGTACGACAGCCTAAACCCTATTTTGAGAATTGCCAATAAAGTAGAGAACTTGGTTCAACAATAACTTGTAACGAACTTTGATGTCTGCAAAAAGCAAACAACTACGTAAGGGGGTTGAGGTTATTTGGCTGCAGCCTTTTTAACTACTCCAGGCTCCAGCCGAGCAGAGTTAGAGGCTCATAATTGCTTAATTTTTTTTTTCCCCTTCTTTTCCTTTTGGTGGTGGGAAGGGAAGTATCAAGTATGACTGTATGAATTAGCATCCTATTTTAAAAGCTGCATTTTTAATTATGATTCTTTTGGGGCACGAGTGCATGCTCCCAGAAATGTGTGACTTTCACGTATAACGGTATAAATACAAATACCTGAACGCCTGAACCCAAAAAGAATGAAAGCAGCAAACCACTCACAAATGAGACATTACTCCCCGGCCCCCGCCCCCTCAATTTCTAATAAGATAAATAAATATAGATAGTAATTAATGTTGGTTCTAATGGTAAAAAATAAATAAATAAAAGGCAAAAAGAGTTAKTTTTGCTAATCACATTATAGATTAAGTGGAGAGCAACATTCCCTGTGAATCTAATTAGAAAAAATATGTAATCTTGTTGGAAAAAGAAAGTGTTATAATGAGACTTCAAATGAAATTAAGCTTATTTAGGTACAGCGATGTACGTAGAGTAAACCGGCTGAAAGACTCACTCATCCTAACTATGATAAATGGTTATTTAATCTTGACAAGGAGAACCCATTTATAGATATATACCTCTCTTCATTTGGTGCGTCATCCAAATTAATCTCATTGGAATGCATGAATCCACAATTATTGTACTAAAATCTTAATTACCTTTTGATTTTGTACCCAAAAAGAGGCCCAGTTGTTGCCTCTAAGCCCAACCCTATTCTTTACTTTTACGGTTTTACCCACACAGAATAAAAAATTTGATAAAAAAAAAAAATTACTTACTTTGTTAAAATTAGAGACAAGGAAAGCTTGACTGGCATACTGTGATGTGCTGTTGGTGTTTGGCTGTTAGGAATATATTCTTGCTGGACTCTGTCATTGTCCTGAAAACTGTATGAAATGCTTTATTTTTTTTTTTTCAGTAGTTTTAGAGAAGTAGGCTCCCCTCTATCTATGTCTATGCCTTGGGATTCTTATGGGTTGTGGCATCTTTGCAGCAAACTATCATCATTTTCAAATCCACCTTTATATATATATATATATAGAGTCAGTACATACTTGATCTATGTTCAGTCTCAGACGTGGATGGGAATAGTAGCCCTCTTCACCTAGGTATTTTCATTTCTTGATGTAGATGTTACCTTTCATGGTTGTGGATGCAGAAGCTAATTTCAGCTCTAAAGCATGGATTTAAAAATGTTTTTATGACCATGGAGTTGCTTGTTACAGTCCTTAACATCCAGAGAATAGGAATTAGATCAGTACGTCCATCAGTTTGCAAGGCATCAAGTTTCCAAGTCCGTTGTGCTTCTAATTAAAGTCTATCTCTGTTCTCGAGTACCCTAGGTAGCTTCCAATGAATAGCCACCCACCCACAATTTCTTTATACTTTCACTCTTATAAGCTACAACCCACCTTGGATTTAATTATGTTCTATTGATGCTATTCACCTGGAAGCAGTTTCAAAAAGAAAATGTTAATCAAATAGGGAGAGTGGGGAAGGCTTTTCCTTTGAGTTGTCACAAATTTGTGCAGTCCTACTTCAAATTGTATGCAGGACACAGCTTTTGAAAAGGGAGATAAAATAAATAAAGAATATCATGCATATTGCATTGCTTTGGCTGTTGGAGAAGAACTCTATGAAGCTACATAAAAAATAATTGAGCGTGTACTTAGTACTTACTACCACTTACCCCTTTTAAGACAGTGAGTTCCCCCACTGTTTGAAACATATTTTAATATCTAGCTAGTTGTCAAGCGAAATTTCTATTCCCTGGAATATATAATGCCCACAATTTAATTTCTTAAACCAAAAGGCTTTAATTCCTTCAAATTAATAAGATGTTGAAACAAATGCCAAGAAATAAGAAATGGTAAGAAGAACACTCAAGAGGAGAGAATTTTGAGATTGTTCTTTTTCTAGTATGGGGAGACTCTGGATCTATTTTTGGGCCTTTGGGTGTCTTTCCCGTGTGGGGAGACTCTGGATCTAATAAAAATGTTCCAAAATCTACTCTTCATGACTTGAACCCTTAACTCCCAACATAAAAGAAAACCCCATGACAGTTTCACCTTAGGGTCTCGTTAAAATGTTTTCCCAAATAAATAAATCTAATTTTGAAAAATACCTCAACAAGGGCTAAAATCGGTATCCGTTTGTCTGGATTCAAATTCAAATACTCTAATCCAAATAAGGTTATCTAAATTCAGTTCCAAATATGGATTCACCACAATCCAATTCAATATGATCCAGTCTAATAATATATATCTTGATAAAATTTATATATAGCTATTAATAAAGTTGGTTTGAATGCTTAATGATCGCCAAAGACTCATAATTCTATTCTCATAGAAATTCTTCTCAAATCATTTTATTAATGATATAGAATATCAAAGCCAAATTTTGTTCATTTAATTTTATTAATAGTGTCTAATATGTTGATCATTTTTAATGTAATCCATTGATAATATTCAATACACAAACCCAATAGGTAATATGAATATTATGAAATCAAATTTCAATTTAGATATATCAGATTCGATCAGATAGGTTTGCATCCCTAGATATTGCAGCTATTTCAAAATGATAATAGTGGTCCTGTGGACCATAAATAATTGATGAGCCGGGTCTTTAGATCCATCCGAGTAAGTCTATTTTATCTTCAGGTTGACAAGGTGCAAGCAGCAGTTTCAACTCGGAATCAAGGTAATTCATCAATCTGCTTAATTGGAATATGTATTTTTCATCCAATCCAATTCTGGTTGCCAGTTGCCACCACCTCTGAGTAGTGTGGCAGGTTTTACCACAATACTGTTTACCATTGATATGGTGACCCCTAACAATCTCTGTTCAAATCTGCACCCAGAAAATGGAAGGAAAGAGAAAAAGAACACAACTGCTGCAATGTTGGGGTTTAGTCAAGTCCTGTGGCTGTCTGGGTTGTCACCAATACGTTGGGGGAAGAGAGGGGGTTGCTGATGCTTCCTACGTACTGTGCCAATATTGGAGAAGGGTAATTAACCCAATTAATTAATGGGAAATTGTCTAAACTCACTATGAGTTTTCACCTAGCATTTCTCTTAAACTCATCATAATTTTTTAAAATGTAATAAAGTTTATCGTATCAGTAAATTTTTATTTTCTAAAATTTACCTTCTATTAGTGCACCGTTAATGTTTCTTAACAGACGTATCCACATGAGCATAAATAATAATTTTCATGACCAAATTATCCTTGGATGGCGAGTTAGGGGGAAGGGTCTTTTTCACTTTTCACTTTTCATGTTTTTTATTTTGCATTTTTAGTGTTTTGTTATAATTTCCAATGTTTTTTATAATTTCTGTTTTTTTTTTTTACATTTTTCTATTTTCTAAAATCTATAAATTTTCCTGTATTTTTTGTTATCCATTTGCAATTTTTGTGTTTTTCTATAATTTTTGGTGTTTTTCCTACAATTTTTATTTTATGATTTTGTTTTTCAATTTCTATAGTTTCTATATTTTGAAAATAATTTTTTAATTTGTTTGCAATTTCTATAATTTTTTATATTTTTTGAAATTTCTGTGTTTTTATGTATTTTATATTTGAAAATACTTTTTGAACATTTTCCTGTTTTTCATGTCTAATTATTAAAATATATATGTATATATTTTATATTTTTCTATGAATGATAAAATGATAATAATTAACACCCATTAGTTTGTTTAATGTCAAGTTAGTAATATGGTGAGTTTTCGACATTTTGAAAATTTGTGATGAATTTAAAAGAAATGCTGAAAATTGAGGATGAATTTTAGACAAATTCCCTTAATTAATTGTCAACCACTCCACTCCACACTGTGAACTTGCAGCTGGACCGTGTAAAATGTAAATTAATAAAAATAGTGTATTTTAGAAATTAGTATAATTTCTGACAATATCTAAATAATTGGGTTTTTTTTTTTTGTTTTATATCATTCAAAGCAAACTTAAGACTTGGTGGTCCATCAAGACCTCATCTCATCCAATGGAAAGAGTTGAGTTGCATTGCAGGAGCGAGGAATGGAAAATGGCTGGAAAGCAGGTAGCGTAGCAAAACTCATTCTTTTCTTTTGTTGTAAAACTTGTAATATCAGTAACAGTAGCACATTCTCCAGTAGTCAGGCTCATAACTGTAATCAATCTGTTGTTTCGTTGTGTGGCATATAAAAAGAGTGGGGGGCCTGGGGGCCCAATTAAGATTGAACGAGTCCTTCGGCCTTTACTGGAAAGAGGTAGTACACTTTCTTTCTTTCTTTATTTATTTTTTGGTCTCTCGCATCGGCCTCGCTCGCATGCGCTTATAAAGGGATTTGGTCTCCTGAAAAAGGGTTTAAGCCTTTGATGGATCTGGCACAACTTTATATGATTTCCGTTGTCCGGCTTCTTACCCTACACAGAACACGATCCAGTGGGGCACCTGTGATGTCAGCATTCTTCTTCTCTTTTCCTTTTTATTATTAGAGTCTAGAGAGAAACGAGAGTTTTATACGCTCTTTTATCATCACTTCTTTCATCTCATCATACAAAGCAAATTGACCATGCTTCTTTCTTACGAAGGTAGCTACCACATTTGATTAATGATGCAAATTAAAGCATTTGCATTGCAAACTTACATACAAATTTTAAAAATTTCTCTTAATTTCAACATTTGCCAAGGTTCAAAATAACACATTAAAGAGACAAAAGTAAGGTAATTAAACAGTCTATTCTACTAATAAAAGAGAGTCTGTGCAGTGGATCACTACAAATTAACAAGTCTTTTTTTTTTTTTTTTTTTCCTTTTTCTTTCTTTGGCTGATCAGGAGGGTCACTGTATATAGAAGATATGGATCATGCTTGCTCTCTTTCTCTTTCTCTTGTTTTTTGCTTTACTGTGGTGTGACGAAGGATCCAATGCCAGGCGTGCTGATGAAGATATGTAAATCATGGACTGTGGAGGTGGTGATGATGGTGGAGAGCAGTGGGAGGAGGAGCTGAAGTGGTGTTGTAAATGGGATGGGCCGGGGGCGGGGGTGGAAGAGGAGGAGGACACTGATAGCACTTAGTGAATAATCCGAAGGTGTCGATCTGGTGGATGAAATTGGTCATGCTCGCCCATCCGCCGAATCCAAACCCAACCACAAACACCCAAACCACAACAAATATGTTAATCGAATACATTCCTGCCCACCTCCCTACAAAATTTGGCGGTTGCTCCACTGCATTCTGCAAATCAAATTAATCAACACATGTCAGTTTTTATTCTTCTTCTCAAATCTCAAATAAATGATAAATTGCAAATTTATGCACAACCTTGTTTGAATGAGAGAAATCCATTGGTGACATGTTAGGCTCTCGAAATGAAATGACCACTTTTAGTTTTTTGTAAAGTAAACCAACACATAAATTTATGCATTCAATTCCTTTGGACCACACCAGGCTCAGGCTCTCGAAAACAGTTACAAGGAACAAGATGCATCGGGGTCATCTCATGTAAACAGTGCAAATACTTAATATAAATACAAATTACCAAGGGAAGATGATGATGATACACTAGTATATGCCATGCCATTATCAAAATATCAGCTATTGTAATTCGTTATTCGTGCAGCTAATTAATTAATTAATTAATAAATAAATAAAAAGATGACATTTTTACTTGCAGGTTGCAGCAACCCAAGGCCCAAAATATGGGGAATCACGTACGGACGCACCTCTATAGAGGATAGACGTAGACCACACCTCTCATTAAAGTGGCCACCATCGCACGCTTCTGCAAATATTTTTGTATTCTTTCTTCTCTTTTTTTCATGTATGTTTGTAGTATTTATGTAGTTCCAAGGGAAAGGCGAAAGGGTAAAAATAAAAAAAAGTCTGCCACGGATAATACATGTCATGTAGATTTCCTCCTCTTTTCAGGTCCCCATGCCACCGTTGGATGGTTGGATGATTGGTTAGTTGGACGATCCACCATGGTCCTTCAGAGTCCTTGAGGACCATCCAGCGGCTTTTAACGTGCAGGGTCAGCCGATTCGAAATCCAAGAAAGAACTCGAATTTTAACATTTAAACAACGAAAATCCACATGGGAGAAGGAAACGCTGCTGGTCTGGTCGGGTCTGCTACTGCTGGAGCCTGGAGCTGGACTGTGTCTCGTCATTCCACTACGCTACGCAACTATTAGTTTTTTAATATTCCACTCATGACTCATTCATTCAATTATATTCTTCTAACAGCGTATGAGTCCAGTCAAACAAGACGCTAAACTGCGTCTGACTAAACTACGGAGTCCCATCCCATGTGCCGCGTGGCATCATTGATTGCTCCATCCATTTGATTCTGAATGCGCTAAACCCAAAGGACCTCTGTTTTATTCTACTTTTAATAGAGGAACCCCTGAACCCCCTGTTTGTCCGCTTCGGATGTGTCATGTCATTTATGATAATCTAACTCAGGAATGATGTCCCCATTATACTTAACGATAACTATCATTTCTTTTTTCTTAAGCAAGCATTAAATAAATAAAAACTTTTAAAAAAGAAAAAGTACCTCTCGAGCTGCTGCTGATCGGAAGGTGAGCATGTGAGCAAGAGCAGGGATGATGTAAACTGTGAAGCTAACGAGAAGCGATCCAACGGCGGAGTTGATGGGCCCGAAGAAAGGGAAGATGATAGCCAAGAACCAAATGGGAATTACCACCGGCAACCTCGCCGCTGCACGCTTGCATAGGCTCTTGCACTCGTGCATCCCTATCACCTTTTCCCACACGAAATACAAAGGCGTGCAGGCGAACCCGAATGTTATAAACTGTAATGTAAACGACGACAACACAACCAATCAACCAACCGGCGGCCATCGGACGGCCAGAACGCCCATCCGTATTTGGATATATGTTGCATAAAAAGTAAAAAACGTTGATCTATGCCTAGTATTAAATATTAATAATAAGAAAAGAATTGAAGGAACAGGGGAAAGGATATATTTATTTACATATATATAGTTACCTGATGGATGAGCATTAATACAACAGCCATGTCTCGGAAAGCCGATCTTGGGAGCAGAGCAAAAGCGTTGGAGTGATTGAGAAGCATGTCTCCGAACGCCCAATACACAGCGACGGCCGACGGTAGTGTCAGTGTCAGCACGTAAAGCGTCGCCAACAGGTATATCGCCTTGAACTTCTGAGGCTTCCACATTGCGTGCATGATCTCTCTGTCCTCCAACGTCCAACGCCAAGCCCCACGTTAATTTAATTAATTAATTAATCTTTTATTAATTGAAAAGTAATTAAAGTGGATAACGACAATATGAATAAACAAAACTCCAAGTGATTTTTTTTTGCACGTTAAATTAAAAAGTGAAATTCAAAAAGTAAGGGGGTATTTCGGGAGCAAAATCTTGTTCCTTCTCCTCTCCTTTAAGAACAGATGGATCAGAGTACTCAGGAGTCAGGAGTCGATCAGACTGTCAGATGTACGGGGTTTGCTTCAGTCATTTTCAAAATGACGTTAGGGGCATTTTTTCACTCCCCATGCATGTTGCCGTACTAATAAATTAGAAAATTAAGGGCTAGTTTTGTAAAAACAAATTGACGTAAAAGACACGGATACGAATGTGGGCTGGGCTTGTCTTACACAGTAACAGCATGCCCTCCGAACGTGTAAAGAATGTTTGTTGCCCCGGTGAAGTAGAGAACCACTTTGGTCGGACCCGAATGCTTAACTCCTTCGATCTGTATTCAACGAATTAATTAATGTTAATGATATACAACAGGATTCAGTCAGAGCATAGTCCATTCGAACAGCCATCATAACCTTGTATTGGGAATATCTTCCCATTGATATAAAGCATATAAGTACGGAGATATTCTCGATGCAAGGTTATAAAGGCAAAGGCTGTTCGAAGAGTGTTCGAACGGACTTTGATCTGACTGAAGCCGATCTCGTATATTTCATTACCAAAAAATAAGAATATAAAAAAAAGGAAAAAAAGAGAAAAGGGAATAATCAGTATAATATTTTTTAATGAAAGTTAGTAAATCACCTGCCCGTGAACAAGGGAAGCGATAGTGAGATACCAAGCTGTGTAAGTGGTCATGACTAACCCCAGGAAAGACCAGATTCTGTAGTTGTGGAAAGAAGGAATGAAGACTGTAGTCGCACAACAAGCTCCGAAGATGTACGTCCAGGTCCTCTTGTCAAGATTATCGTTTATGTAATAAATGTTACTGCGTTCAAACACACCCATGTTCCACAAAACATCAAATCTCTGCTTCTCTCTCTCTCCCTTTTTTTTTAATTCATAAATCTACAACAAGAAAGAGAAGGAATCCATAAATAAATAATTAAGGAGCTCGAGGCAAGTAGATCAGATACCTTGCACAGGCTATGAGTTGAATAACAGATCCAAACAGAAGAAATGTGCAGTTGAATGCCAGACCCACGTTCCTCCAGTGTTTTCCAAGGAGCCCATCCAGAACTTCAAACCACTTTAATGGAGGAAAACGGAGAAGACCCATGTAAGGAAATGGTTTATACAGATTATAAATAAATGGAACAAATACAGTCTGAGACGTATTGGTTGATTCAAAACCTGAATGACATGGTTCCTGAAGTCGACTTTCTCCCTTTCTTTTCTGGTTCTATACTCTACGTATAGAATGCTAATGAGATATGCTGTCCAACTACCCAACAAACCGTAGAACAGCTGGAGCAGTATTCCAGATAACATCCCCAGTTGAGAAAAGGAGTATGGCAATGTGAGTAGAACTTGAGCCACCTGAAAGCAATAATATAGAAAGAAACAAGCAAAAGCCAACTTAAAAACAAGACTTTATACGAATATGCAAGTTCATTTACTATAAATAGAATCTGGTTGAAAAACTAAATTGAGAGAGAAAAGAAAAAGAAAAAAAACATTACTACAATGAAGTTCACCGAGAGAAGAAACAGGTAAAGTGGGAAGATGAAGAAGACGACTACGTTATTATTTCTTGAATCTTGACGGTAAAAATTAAGAAATGATACCTGATTAGAAGCACAGCTAAACCAGGCATCATAGACAGAACCACCGTGCCAGAAGAACTTAGATAATCTGGTTTTGATGTTCTTGTGCTTTCCTTCGGTCTCCATCTCCACATAGTTTCCAACTATAACCGTTTCCACCACCTTGTCCGACGCCATTGTTGATTGCTTCCGCCAATCCTCCCTCGTTTTCTTCAGTTTCACTTCTTATACTTCACCGTTCTGTTGTTCGAGAGCTTGAGATTCGAAATGAAGAGGAGGACCTTATGTGGTATTTATACAAGACACGACGACTTCTTGAAGTGTGGGAAAGCCAGGGGTTGAGTTGAGAGTTGAGAGTTGAGAGGCAAATGAGGTGTGGTTTCGGGAAGAGGGTAAAAACCGCTTTTGAGGCCGATGTTAGTAAGTTTGACGAAACCACCGGTTTCCGGACCTTTATATTATAAACTAATTCCCCTAATCAATTAAATTGGCTTAAACAAATCAATAAATTAAAACTAAACAAATGAGCGTGAGCTGCTTCTCCGCACGAGTGGGTTTCTCCACTTCCCTTGCGGTTTCATAATAATAATCGTCGACTCGTGGTCATATTGATTTTAGTTTGCAATGCCCATCCTACACTCCTCTATTTACCAAATGCCATGAACAATTCAATGAACAACAATTTCATCTCCCTCAAGAATCTACTTTTTTCATTTGTTAGAGTGGAAATATTCTAACCCGATCCACCAATCCCTCCCTTCTGGATTTGGGTTTGGACCAGTGCAAGGTAACCGATCGATAAACCAATCAACCTATGTACCAAAAAAAGACCTGGATTTTCTCTGACCCAAGTAAACCCGATTTGGTTTCGGGTGGTTTATTTCCGAAACCAACCCTGCTGTTAATTTTGTCGTAGAGTAAAATTTTAAATAAACTAGTTTTGTATTTCTGAACAAGGGCAAGGAAAGGATATATATATCAAGAAACAAAAATAAGAAGAGAGGATAATCAACAAGTTGGAGGCGGGATAATAAAATAAGGTAGTAAATTATTGAGGACAAGAAAAATAAAAATGAAATTATAAAGAAATGGAAGCGGGGGGGTAAGGAATTATTCTAAGTAGAGACCGCATGATTGCATCCAAACGGGCGTGGTCGCTTTATAAGAGGAAGAAAGCTGCTTTATCACATGGGCTTTGTGGACTCGAGAATCAGCCCAAGTCACACATGGACATACATCGGGACATATACCCCTCCCTCTTCACGAGCTTTTCATTTTTTTTTGGGTTAGATCATGTGCCCTTGGGAAGCGCCATTTCTCATTATTTACACTGAATTCTTTCTCTTGTTCTTGCTTCACCAACCAACCCCTTCAGTCATTCACTCACTTTCTTTATTCCTTCAGAGTCCAGTCCCACCCCCACCCTCCCTCGGTCCACACACTCCTTTTTCCAAGTCTTATTTGAATTCGAACAAATGGCTCAAAAATATTGAATTCTTATTTTATAATAATAATAAATAATTCAGCCCATGATAAAAACCACAGTGATCTTTTTAGAGTAAATATAATGAAGATGTAACTTGTCTCCTTGACTACCAAGAAGCAGTATAATAAAGTTTCACCCTTGTCTGTGAAGCAAAACCAACATTAACAGATGTGGTGCAGTGAGGTGCAGATGGACACATTCATGGGTGTTGGGCTTGAAACCCACATGGTCCATTACCCAATAGTAGTAGCAGTAAATGGCTTCTATCACACCCATTAATTACTTACTAGGAACATGCCTCTGCCTCTTGTCTCTTTCATCAATTAGCTAGATTTTTTTTTTTTTTGAAAAAGATCTTTATATTCAATAAAAAGTCATATTACAACGCTCTCCATGGTCAGAAAAAAAAAAAATTCTCTGAGCAAGGGAGGAGGTTCGGAAATCGGAAGTGACATTTACATGGCTTTGTAAGCGGGCTCTCTGGGCTGTTATATGGGCCATCAATTAGCTAGGTTGGAGATGCAGTAAAACTGCTGACATATATACCAACCTGCATCTTAATTACTACACACGTATTCATTTTATTTATTGAAAATGTCAATAATAACTTTTGTCCTGGAGCTTGGACATGTCCAATCTATGGAAGACATGTGTCATTCTCGTACTCTATGAGTCATACGGCAAACTTACTGACCAGCCCACATACACGGCGAGTTCCATGGGGATCTCAAGGCAGTGGGCCGCTAGCCCCTGGGCCAGGTCCTGTGAATAAAATCCCAAATCAAAAGCAAAGCTTCTTTGGTAATTTGTATTGGGATTTGGGACACACCTCTCCCCACCCCCTTGGCCCTTGCCTTGTGTCCAAATTGCAAGGAAAAATTTGGAAACCAGAAGAACATACGTTTCCGTCTTCAGTTCAAACTTCAAAGTGTTCAACATACAAGAGAATGGAAGTGGGCTTAACAATGTTGACGCTAACCAAAAGCTACAAATTAATGTTGGCGTTGTTAGTTGTTACATCTTAAAGAAGAAATAATATTTAAATCAAAGTTTGGATCATCATGGTTTTGTTTATGATGAATCTTGTTTAGCTAAAGCGCATGCCAATACTCTGATCATATTATATACTCGACAATGATGTTGGTTGCATCCAATATCAATGATGCATGAATACAAATTCAATAACGAACCATCTCTAGCTTAATTTCTTCGTATTCTATTATTATATATATATATATATATAGATTATTATATATATATATATATATAGATAGATAGATAGATTCCTTCTCCTTGTCTCTTTGTAGCCAGATCATTTGAAATATTTGGATTGATTTGGGGCTGTGGTATGGTATTCCTATCGAAGATTTCAATGATTAAAGTTAAAGAGGGTCTCTGCACATACACGGTCTATCTTTTCCCAATTCATCTCCACTAGTAACTAACCCTACAAAATGGACATAAACGGGGCTACTTTATGATGAGCTTCAACTTTGTGCTCAAATAATACTTTAATTTAACTCAAAAGACAAAGGGATTGGGGAATGTGAGCTATTGACTTGAGAATTGGGAGATGGGATGAGAAGGATGATTAGATTTTAGATAGATGGTGGGGTATCTTCCTTCAGTTGCAGTCAACCCAAAGATGGTTAAAGCAGCAGAACCCGAATATTGCCCATTTTTATGTGCACAGCATAATGAAGTTGCAGCAACTTCTCAGCAAACAATATCATGCTGTCTATCCCTTTTTCGCATCTATAGTAGCAAGTCTTATGCTGCAAAGGGGGCTATATTCATCATATATATATATATATATATATACATTAATATCATGTAAAGGTTCTTTCTGTGTCTGAAATTAAAGCATTTGGCATGATAAAGGAATTACCAACAGCGACCATACATTTTGCGTGATTCATACCAATCTCTCTGTCCCAATTACAACCTACCACTTTTCTTACCTCCCTAACTTTTCGAATTGTTTCGTTTCCTTTTTCCTTTTCTAATCTTCCTTTTCTTTGTTACGCATAAAGGTGTAAAGTGGGCTGTGCCAAGTCACCACGGCATGGCCCGTGGGTGGCTCGTCCTAAAGGCGGGCCGTGTTGTGTTGGCCTGTGGGCCACCATAAGCCGTGCTGTCTTCCCTGATGGAAAGTTTGGGGGTTGGCCCGATACGGCCCACGGCCCAGGCCAAAGCGGGCTGAAGGCCGTGCCATGGGCTTGGACTGTGCCGGGTTGCGCCACAGGGCGAGTCTTTAGGCCGAACTGGGCTGCACTATTTTTTTTTTTTTTGAAAATTTTGATTTCTTTTCTAAGTATAATTGTAAAACTAAAATATTTAACTTTCCTATGAATTTTGGGAATTAGGAACTATTTAAAAATTTAAGAAATGAGAAATCTAAGTTATTTAATACATAAATGAAAAACATACTTAACCAAATTGAAATAAGAATGATGGAATAACAAATTGGAAGAAAAATAGAAATTTTATTTCATTTAAATATGAATGGTACAAATAAGTGAATTACAAATACAATGATTGGATCATTGCATACTTGGATGAATGAAATATAAAAATGGAATAAATTAATAGAATATAGAAAAATACAATATGGTTACAAATTGAAAATACAAAATTACTTTGTTAAAAAATTAAAAAATATATATATCAAATAAATTAAAAAAAATTAAAACTTTTACAATAATTTGAAAAAATGAAAAATTCTACAAGTAGTCAAATTCATGAATCATCATTCATGACTTTCATCATCTGCTCCGAGTGAAATGCCCGGTGTTGTATCATGCCCTCCCTTGTCTTGTAATCTATCTTCTACATCTAGCCAATTCTTGAAGCAGATGCACATCTCTATGCTCTCATCGCTCATGCAGCTTCTTTTGTTATCCAGCACCCTGGTGTCTGCACTAAAACAAGACTTCAATGGAACTATAGACACCAGAGGGTTAGTAGATCATGTGCCATGGCGGCGAGAAACGGATAATTTTTTGGGTGTTCACTCCACTAGGCTAAAATATCAAAATTATTTGATACTTCACCTAAATTAGAAAAATTTGCTTGCAAATAAAAATTAAGTTCAGTAAATGAACTTGTTGTAGAACTAGTAGATTTCTGCTTTCTACTTATTAAATAAAAAGAGCTTTTCTTCTCTACTACTGGGTCAAAGTCAAAAGGAGAAGAAGATGACAACTTCATATTCATACAAAATGTACATTTCAAATAATAAATTATTAATTTCTTCTTTTTTATTTCCTATATCAATATTCATATTTTCATAATATGTTTCAAGTAAAATATCTAAACCATCTTTCTTAGACCTAGGGTCTAATATTGTAGTTAAACAATAAAGGGGAGAAATGTTCTCCCAATATTTTTTAAATTTATTTTCCATAATTTCAACAATACATTAAAATTGTGGATTATTTCTATATTTGGCAAAACAATCACTAATTACCATTAATTGATATGGTAAATTACAACTAGTTGGATAATAAATTTCAAATAATTCATTTGTTGCATCATAAAAATGCTTTAAAAAATCTCTTATATAGATTGCCATTTCCCAGTCTTCCTCAAATATCATATCATTAGGCACTTTTAAATTATAAAAATCAGAAAGAATTTCTTTATGAGATATACAATTTTCTAACATAGCATAGGTAGAATTCCACCTATGCTTTACATCTAATATGAAATGTTTATATTTTAAACCATAATTTGGGCATAAATATTTAAATTCTTGTTTTCTTGCCCCTGAACTTTTTATATATATAATACAATTTCTAATTTTTGAAATATGATTTGAAATAATATTCAAGGCATCTTGAATACATAAATTTAAGATGTGACATGCACATCTAATATGAAATAATTTACCTCTCTTTTGGGAATTGCATGTGGACGTTAGAA